TGAGCCTGGCCTGCGCCGACATCCGTGTCAGTAGCTACTTGTAACAGGGCAGCTGCCCTGTACTGGCCCTTTAAGAGCCAAACCCCAGCCTGGAGCAGGCCCGGGGAGTTCAGCCAATTAAGGCCCAGCTGGGAGCCATAAAAGGGAAGGGCTGCTTCAGAGAAGGCAGTGTGAGCCTGGCTGCTGAGGGAGCAGGATGCTCTCTGGAGCTAGGGCAGGGCTAGAGAGTCAGGCTGGGCCAGGGTGCTCGGACAGCCCCCCAGCCAGCCTGCTAGGCCTACGGTGAGGCCTGCCGGAGAGACACCAGACCCCCAGAAGGGGGGCTCAGAGCGAGTGACTTGGGCACTGCCGGAGGGCAGTGTGGCGAAGAGAGCAACGTGACCGGAAGATTCCAGAGGGGAAACGCTATGTGAGCGGAGGCCGGTGCGGGCGGAATGGACTGATCCCGGGGACAGACGACGGACCCCCGCTACGGTGGTGAGTGACCCCCTCACAAGGGCCTTAATTGCTGTTGACTCTTGAAGCTGGAGAAAGAGCAGAGAAGTGCAGTCAGGCTCCTCTCCAGCCTGTTACTAGTGAGATGCTGCCTGTCCCGCAAGGCAGAGCGACCCCCCCTGGGACAGCCCAGAGCTGGGTTATAACCAGTGCCCAGCCCTGTGCTGGCTCCTGGCGGGGGCCGCCTGCGCCTCCCCTGCTGCACAGCCCCAGGGCAGCGTGGGTGTGAGGGGCAGAGTCGGTCTGGGCCCTTTGCGCTCTGCACGACCATTGAACAGCCCAGGGCCCTTGCGCTAGGAGTGGGTCAAAATGTCCCTCCAGTTTCATGGGTCAAAATGTCCCTCATTTCGGTGCACCCCAGCCCAGCCCGGCTGAGCACCCCAGCCCCGAAGTGGCCGCACTGCAGTGGCCCAGGGGCTCTGTCAGGATGAAAGGTGCCGGTAGAAGTACAGGACAATGCCCAGCTCGCAGGTCCTGGCCCGGACTTTGCTCAGGCCCCAGTGAGGCCCAGCTCCCCTGGACTGGAACCGAGCAAAGATCTGAGAAGCCACCGTGTGTTAGTGCCCAGAAGCGTTTCCCTCCTGCTCCTGAACCTCAGAGCTCTGGCTGTGAATTGGTGGATTGGGGGTGGGGGCTTTTCCTTAATGTTTCTCTGCTGGAAAGCATGGAAGTGGATGGGCTCCTCTCTGGAACAATGGTGTCAGAGGCTCCCAGGCAGTACCCACCCTTGGCTCTGGGCAGTCCCTGGGAGGACCCCTTCTTGGCGACCCACACTCACCCCGCCTCTCCACCCCCCTTCTTGGCAACCCACACTCTCCCAGCCTCTCCACTTCCTGGTCAAGACATATTTTCTCCCACCTTCATTCAAGTAGCTGGCTGGACTGCTATGCCTGAACATTTCAAAGGAAGGAAAAGAAAAAAGGGAAACGGCTCAGCCAGAAGCGGATCCGCAGCGTTGGATGTTTCACTCCCGACAGTTGAAGCTGGGAAACTGTGTAAGCAGCTAAAACTGAAGGTGTCAGGCAGCCTGACCCAAAGATGGTTGGCTGCTCTTGGGAAGCCCATTCAGCAAACCTCTTCTTTGTAATAATGTCTGTGGCAAGGAGTTCCACAGGCCACGTATGGAGAATGTAAAAACTTAGCTTTTCTTGTTTTCAATGTTCAAACATGCAATGGAATTAAATGTTCCCTTTTTGTGTGTTATGAGAGACGGTGAATAGAAATGCCTGATTACTTTCTTTAGTGCTGGATTCATAGAGCTGAAAATCAGAAAGGACAATTAGATCGTTAAATCTGACCTGTTCCGTAACACAGGTCATTACATGTCACCCACTTACTTGCATATTAAGTCCCATGTCCCGTGTGTCACTAAGGCCTGCTTTGTACCAGGATTTTGTGGGGCAGAAGCAGAGATGTGAGAGGGCACCATGAGTGTCAGGTGATCTGACCCCCGCCAAAGACGGAGAATGTGTTGAATCTGCACCCTCCCAGACAGATGTCTGTCCCCTTCCGTTCGCACACCCCCAGTGAAGGGCCTCATTCCATGAGGTTTAACGGTTAATTCGAACTAAGGGGTTTATCTCGGAATCGCGCTTCTCTGCCACGTGTAGATGCGAGCAGCTATTCCGGGCTAGTCAGTTTCTAAAATGGCGCCCGCAAGGGAACATGCTAATGAAGAGCGGGATATTTAAATGCCGCGCTTCATTTGCAATTTCGGTTGCCCTCATTAGCCTCTCTAGTTCGAACTAGGAGGCTAGTGTAGATGTACCCTCAGAGTTGTCCGTTATGATGACTACATGCTGGAATTGCCCCACACAGCACTCTAGTCTGTGGGTCGGGCCTGCAGTCCCTGTTCAGAGAGGGTAACTTCTCATTGGACAGTATTAAAACATTTTGTTGGCATGGGCTCAGCTCACCAAATGTGGTAGATCTACAGGTTTGCTTGCTCTCACGTCTCATTGTAACATCTCTGCCGATGTTAGGGTCGTCCTCAGCTGTTATCTGCAGTGTCTGTCTGTTTGCTTCCAGATCATTCATGAAAACATTAACTAGCATCAGCCTAAACTGATCCCTGGAGATCCCACTACAAACAGCCCGGTTTGCTGACCGTGGTGCATTGAGAATGGCTTTCTGAGATAGGTCGGTATCACATCTATTGATCCACGTCATGTGTGAGCTACTGAAATTGTAGAGTGCTCGTGTCTTTATCTGAATATTTTCCCCTACTAAATCAAATGGCTCAGAGAAATTAAAGGTTATTACATCCGTGTGGTTCCCATGATCAACCAAACATTTTCTCTCATTAATGGAGGAAATTAGTTTATTTCCAAACACCTGTTTTCCAGAAACCATACTATCGTCTGGCATTAATTACACCCCTAGACTTTTTCTAGACAATCCCATATCATCCTTTTCCATTGTTCTCTAACCGTGTCAAATCCCCTTTTTTTACCTTTTCCTTTATTTTCCACTAATCTACATTTGAAAGAGACCTGTCCTGTATTTGCTTTGTTTTGCTTTTTCAGCTTGGCTGCTTCCTGACTGTGGACTTCTGATGCTGATTGCGATTCATTGCTCACTTCACAACATCAAAGGTTCTACAGTAGATGTTGTTTAACACCATCCTTGAAACATTTGCTTTCTCCCTTTAAAAACTGGAGTATTTTCTCCCTTTAGGAACTAGTGTGTTTTTTCTAGGATTTTAAAGTGCTACATTGTCCTGCATTTTGCTTCAACTACCCCAGACTAACACGGCTACATTTCTATCACTTTTTTTTCTTAAAATACTTAACTAAAAGATTTGCCTGAAATTGCTCCAGTCCTTAACTCAGATCTGTTTTGTTTCTCTTCATGTAAGGCCTTGTTCCAGGGTGGGCGTGAGGGGTTCAGTTTGCAGGCTGCCCCGGGGAAGAGAGGGCAACCCCAGACCTCTCTCACCTCCGTAGCATGAGGTTAGGTCAAAAGCCCCTGCCCATGGCCGCTGCAGTGGGCACAGCCGGGAAAGAGATGCACGTCCCCCGTCTGAGGGACCGATGGACACAGCGGCAAACAGACACACAAGCAGACAGACTTCCTGAAATACAGAGTAGGTAGCTGTCCCTTTCTCAACCCTGGACCCCTGAGGGCCCCATGGGGTTAGAGCTGCCCCGGGTTCCCAGCTCTTGCCACTTGCTGCCCCCTTCTGCTAACATTCTACCACGTTACTGTTCTTTCTACCAGCCCCCTTCCTTTCCATTTGGTGAGAAACAATCCAATTCTAGGTACATCCGAGTAACCTGGCACAACCAAACCCCGACCTTGTCTGAAGTGATGAGAAGAGGAAGCTGCATACCAAGTTTGGTAGCCCTAGCTCTTACCAATGAAGTGGACTTCTGAACAAAGGGACTCACAGACAGACAGAAAGATGCACATTTCTAAAATATGCCATCCGATAACCCACATTATGTGGTCCTTAACTAAGCCAAGCATGGATTTTTCCCTGATATCTTTAATGTCCCTGATCAGTTTTAAACACTTCCGATTTGTAGTGATGGATGTCTCGTCTCCTTTTCTCCAGTTTGCTAAATATCGCTCTGTCCCCCATAATTGTTGCTCTCCCTTTGCCACTGAGTTAGGATTTGAGCCCAAATTGCCCACTTTCTCAACTCTGGAATCATTGCTTTGTAGCAGTGAACAAACTCCTCCTAAAGCTCTCCCATGTTCATTCCCATTTTTCTGTCTCACGTTTCCTCCCCAAAACTTTTGCTCATAATTTGTCTCAGTTTTGTGGAATTAGCCTTTGTCAAGCACTGTCGATAGCTAGTCCTAGTCAGGAAATCTTTGCTGTTTCTCCTTTTGTGTGAAATCAGCTCCATTGTTTTCTTCTTTACCACGTGCTCCCTTGTGTGTTTCATCTCTGAACTAACCAGTTCCAGACTTTCCTCCCAGCCCCTTAGAACAGCTCCCCCCAACTCCCCCATTCCCACGGCCTGTCTCAGAAATGTCTTTTCTGTCTGCTGTGTCCTGCCCAGCAACTGGGCGACCAGACCTGAGGGTGTGGTCAGAGCAGGCTTTTTTCCATCTCATTCCGTACGTGTCCAACCATGGTCTGTGTTTTGGCCAGGGCTGCAAAGAGCAGGCGACCCCTGGGTGTTGCTCTCAGCAAGGGCCAGGTCTTTCCCTGGGGTGTAGTTCCTGTTGGTGCCTATCGAGGTTTCTCACAAACTGATGTATGGAGATGACTGACACGGGGACACCGCTGGCATCCGGAGGGTCGGTTGCTCATAATTCATTTCTCTGCATAAGGAAAGTGTGTGTGTGTGTGTGTGTGCGCCAATCTGCTCTGCCCCCGAGAACAGCCACCAGGAGTGCATGTGGGGTCTCATATTGTCATTGTCTATCCCTCCAGGTATTTGTATTGCGACCAGCATTGCAAGCTGTGGAGATATCCACAGAATCACGGGAATGTGCGGCACATGCGGGAGACACCGTTCTGCCTCAGGGTTGGACACCTTCTCCCCTGCTCCATGGCAGATTCCAGCTCAGCCAACTTCACCAACCCCTCCACCTTCATCCTCCTGGGCATGCCTGGTCTAGAGGCAGCCCATGTCTGGATCTCCATCCCCTTCTGCACTATGTACACCATCACCATCTTAGGGAACATCACCATTCTGATCATAGTGAAGACAGAGCCGAGCCTCCATGAGCCCATGTACTATTTCCTCTCCATGCTGGCCATCACCGACCTGGTCCTGTCCACATCCACCCTGCCCAAAATGCTGAGCATCTTCTGGTTCAATTCCCGGGAGATCGATTTCAGTGCCTGCCTCACCCAGCTGTACTTCGTTCACTGCTTCTCAGCAATTGAGTCTGGACTTTTTGTGGCCATGGCTTTGGATCGCTACGTGGCCATCTGCCATCCCCTGAGACATTCCACCATCCTGACAAATGCTGTGGTGCCCAAGATCGGCCCGGTTGCTGTGCTGCGAGGTGCCATACTTGCATTGCCCTATCCCTTCCTGGCCAGGCAGTGGCCGTATTGTAGAACCAACATCATCCCCTACACGCACTGCGAGCACATGGCCGTGGTGAGCCTGGCCTGCGCCGACATCCGTGTCAGTAGCTACTACGGCCTCTTTACACTAATCTGTAGGATTGGTCTCGATGTGTTTTTTATTGCTCTGTCCTACACCCAGATCCTCAGGGCCATCTTCCGACTGCCCACCAAGGATGCCCGGCTCAAGACTTTTGGGACCTGCAGCTCCCACCTCTGTGTCATCTTGGCCTTTTACATCCCAACTCTCTTCTCTTCCCTCATGGTCCGTTTTGGCCACAATTTGCCCCTTAATTTCCATGTTTTCTTTGCTAACATGTACCTCCTGCTGCCCCCCATGCTAAACCCCGTTATCTATGGGGTGAGGACTCAACAGATCCGGGCCAGGCTGCTCCAGCTACTTCCTCGTAAAGGGCCTAAGGTTTTCTCCTGAAGCTCTGGCTCTCAGACCAAGCCCCATGTAACTCTGGCGGGTGACATGTTGCTGGGCCCTCTTCCCTGGATCACTTATGAGCCAGCCAAAGACAAATTAAATCCTTTCCTGGCTTTATTGTGCTTCCTGAGTGTGACATTCTGGTGAATCTGTCTGTGTACCGCTCCATCAGACGTCGATTTCCCCCTTTCTTATTGTATTTGTCATTGCAACTGACACCCAAGGCCCTTCCTCCCCCTGCTCCTAAGACCCCACCTTTACTGCACATCTTCCCGTGAAGCCTACAGACCATTTTTGCCTCCCCTCCCCTCATTGCCTCCCACTCTCGTTTGCTCCCCCTGTCACTCTGCGGATCAGCTGGTGACTGGTGGGTCCCCCTCAGGGGACACCAGGCATTGAGGTGCAGCGGAGCCCTCAGACTCACCAGCTTGGGCTCCCTCTTGCACAGCGAGACAACAAGCTGTGGAGCCCTCCGAGCTGCACTCACACCGACATCTGCAGGCCGGGACCCCCACAGCTCGTGGCCCTCTTTTGGGCAACTGGTGGCCCTGACCCCCATGCCAGCACCTTTGCTCTGGCCACAAACTGGCTCTGCTCCTCTGACACCAGCACACGGCCAATATCCGTAACTTCAGGCAGAACCATGATATGTGCATATAGACAGGCGCTCGTCTGCCTTTCCCGGCCTCACTCGCCTCTCAGAGACCCAGCGTGTCTGCGTCTCGTGGGCACATTCCACACACAAGGGCGGGGTGTGGGTCTCCCCCATGGGGCAGACTCCTCACCACGGCGGCGCCAGCGGGTTGCTCTGGGAATTAGCTGGTTGGCTCACTGGATGCCTCCCTCTCCCTGGTGTCTCTCCCTCCGGCAGCGCCCATGCCAATGTCTGAGCCCCCCTTCCCGGGGGGGTGTTTATCCTGCTTGTTCTCCAGGTCCTCCCCTCCCCAGGGTGCCCTGTTCTCCTCCCAGGGAACACCCAGTTCCCCTGCCCCCACCTTGCCTCAGTGACCCACGGCCAGTCTCCATCTAGCCTCTGCCTCAGGGCAAACTGCAGCCTGTCATGGCCACTCATCACTGGCCAAGGGGGGTGGACCTGCTACCTTTGCCCACATGGCTGCTTCAGGCCCTGCAGCCTGGGAGTTTGCTTGGCCAGAGATGCCCAGCCCTGCCTGCCTTCCCCAGTCCTGCTCTACCTCCAGGAAGCCGCCTGCTTCCCAAGCACCCAGGTGCCTACTGCTCTGTCCAGAGCAGCCGTGAGTTCTCCCCTCCATCCAGGAGCCCTTTTTTATACAGCCCCCAGCTGGGCCCTCCTTAGCCAGAGCTGCCTCAGCTGGGGCTTGCTCAGGGCTGGGATTTTGCCCTTAAAGGGCCAGCGCAGGGCAATCGCTCTGTCTCAGTCTCCCACAGGAAACAGGAATAGGAGCTTGTGGGTACTCGCCCTTGGCCAGAAGGGACCTTGACCAATCATGTCTCTTGAGCCTCAGTTTACCCAGCTGTAGCACAGGGATGTAGTGAGGGGGATTTTCCTGTACCAGGGCCTCTGAAAAGCCTTTAGTGGAAGGTGCTGCCCAGTGTGAGGAGAATCACTGAGGAGAACGACTGATCTGTGATGCCCCAGACAGGGTTTGTGTCTCCCCTCAGGCGTCTGTGCCCAGGTCTGTGTGGGGACTATTGACCCGTCCCTCCTGGGCACTTCCAAGGGAGCAGCCCTATGGGAAAGTAGGCAAAATCCGGGGATTTCTTTCTAATCAAAGATCATTTTAAAATACATACAAATGCACAGAGCCGGCAATTCCTCCCTGAGTCAGTCCAGAGCCCAGGGGTTCTCCTCCCCCCTTGGGAAGGGCCTTAATTGCTGTTGACTCCTGAAGCTGGAGAAAGAGCAGAGAAGTGCAGTCAGGCTCCTCTCCAGCCTGTTTGCATCCAGATGGTGCCTCTCCCGCAAGGCAGAGCAAACCCTCCTGGGACGGCCCAGAGCTGGGTTATAACCAGTGCCCAGCCCTGTGCCGGCTCTCGGCGCGGGACACTGCTGCAGACGCTGGGCTGAGAGAGGTGGGGACGCGGCTGCCTGAGGGGGTTCCAGGGAGGACACGTCCCTCTCAGCACTCACAGGTACCGTCTCTTCCTGAGGGGCTCCCCTGCCCCACAGACCCAGTGCCATGTGGGTATGATGGGATAGAGTTGATGGGGGGGTCTTCTCTTCTCTGCCCGGCCATTCAGCATCCCAGGGCCCTTGCATTAGGGGATGAGTTTCCTCCAGTTTCATGGGTCAAAATGTCCCTCATTTCAGTGCACCCCAGCCCAGCCCGGCTGATGCCTCCAGCTCCGAAGTGGCCACACTGAAGTGGCCCAGGGGCTCTGTCGGGTTGAAAGGTGCCTGTAGAAGTACAGGACAATGCCCAGATCGCAGGTCCTGGCCTGGACTTTGCTCAGGCCCCAGTGAGGCCCAGCTCCCCTGGACTGGAACCAACCATAGATCTGAGAAGTCACTGTGTGTTAGTGCCCAGAAATGTTCCCCTCCTGCTCCTGAACCTCAGGACTCTGGCTGTGAATCAGCAGGTTGAGGGTGTGGGAGTGTTACCTGAGGCTTCTCTGCTGGAAAGCAGCTTAGTGTCATCTGCAAACTTGCTGAGGGTGCAATCCTTCCTTTTATCTAGCTCATTAGTAAATATGTTGAACAAAATCGGTCCTAGAACCGATCCTTGGGGCACTCCGCTTCAAAGCGACCACAAACCAGACATCGAGCCATTGATCACTACATGTTGGGCCCAACCTTCTAGCCGTCTTTCTATCCACCTGACAGTCCACTTATCCCATCCAGACTGCCTTCCTTCAACCAGTCGGCTGAACTGCTCTTCATGAACCTTTCAAAACAACAACAACAAAACCCTATTTGCCAGAAGCCACTAAAATCGAAGGTATCAGAGAGTCTCAATAAAAGATGGTTGGCTGGCACATTTGTGAATCCCATTTAATTGCAATAATTATTGTGGCAAGGAGCGCCGCAGGCCAAATATGGAAATTATAAGACATCTTCTTTTCTTATTATTAGATGTTTAAACATTTCACCTAGTTATTCCCATATTAAGTCCTGTGACCTGTGTGTCACTAAGGCCCGGTTTATACCAGGATTGTGGTGTAGAATCGTAAATATGAGAGGGCGCCACAAATATCAGGTAATCTGATCCCAGGCAAAGAGAGAATGTGTTGAATCTGCACCCTCCCAAACCGATGGCTGCCCCCTTCCTTCCGAACACCTCCAGTGAAGGGCCTCCCCAACCTCTTGAAGCATCTAAAGCCGCTGGTTCTGCTCTCTGAGTCAAGTGCGAAGAACTTTCCCTCCTGTCTTCTTGTAACCTTTCAGAAGCCTTCGAGGGAGTAATCGAGTTTGTCTGTACAGGATAAACTTAAAAAACCCACAAATAGTCTGGTAGAACTTTAGAGACTAACAAAACACAGGTGGTATCATGAGCTTTCGTGGGCACAGCCCACTTCTTCAGATGACCCGAGTTTTTCTGGTACTTGAAGACCCGTGTCATGTTCCCCTTCAAACCTAAACACACCTGGGTCCTTCAGCTCGCATAAACAGCTTACATTCTGTCCCTGGGAACATCTGGATGCCTTCTCTCGTGACCCTTTCCTGTTTCCCTCCATTCAGCAGTGACTGAAATCGGACACAGTACAATAACTCCTCATTTAACGTTGCTGCAATGTTCCTGAAAAACATATGACTTAAAGCAAAATCATGTTCAGTGACCCCAATTCCCCTGTAAGAAATCATGGAAATAGGAGCCTTAGGTTACCAGGAATTTTTTTCTAGGAGACAAAGGACAGTAGGTACCAAATAAGATTTTAACAATTTTAATCAATTTGTTAGCGTGCCCAGCAGAGACGGCTGGGAAGCTGGGTGGAGGCGGTGGCGTAAGAGGCTGGGATAGTTTCCAGGGACCGTCTGGCTGCTCAGTGCTGAAGTAGCACTTCGCTGAGTTGGTAAGGTGGCCCTGCAATCTAGAGGCAGTGTGGCGGGGGGCAGGAGGGAGGACACACAAGAGACACACGGCCGTGGCTGCAGGGGAACCTGAACGTGGTGGTGAACTTGCATCATCCCGCCAGAGCGCCCCCTCTCCTCCGGACTGAGCGTGCATGGCAGCACAGTGCGGTGTTTCCACAGTACCAAGGGGTGTTTGCATAAGAGAGAGACATGCGCACTGGGTGTGAGAGATGGACGGAGACGTGCACCCTGTGTGTGTGTGTCATTCTGTGTGTCTCTGTGTGCATATCTGCATTTGCGAGAGGCAGCAAGAGATGTGCATTGCCTCTTTAAGTATGTGAGCCCCACTATAAGTATACTGCCCTTTTAGCCAGTTCAGATTGTGATATCCCGGGGCAAGGAGTGGTTGGCTAGATTGGGGGAGGGGGAACAAGCTGTTATGAACTGCCATCTTCCCCACCCTTCCCCCCCACAGCAAGCAGGGGGCTCCCAGGTGTAGCTCTGGGCCAGTAGGGGAGGGGCTTCCAGGGAACTCAGAGGAGTTGATGGGGGCTGCTGGTCCACCTTTTTCCCAACCCTCCACCCCCCAAGGACAAGAATTGTGTCCACAAGGAAGCACCAGGCAGAGTGAGAGGAAACAGGCATCCGGGCCAGTCAGCAAAGGCTGCTACGTTCAGGACATCGGTGTATTCCCATCACTTAGCTAGGCGTGGAGATATAAACCAAAGAATCAGACCCACACGTCCGCCTGTGAAGGGGTCATTGCTCACACTGACCGTCTGAGGCCTTGTGCTTTGGCCGAGCAGCGGGGCCATCCTCCCATTCCCAGCCAGCCGCACCGAGATCAGGTGATATCAGGCGGTACAGAAGCTGAGTCAAGCTAACCCCTCCAGATACAGGACAGATCCCAGAACAAAAGAAAACTTAGTGTGATTTGTGTCCGGCAGGAGCTCACTGATCCCTAGTTCTAGAGATGTAGCCGTGCGAGTCTGGTCTGGCATCATCCTGTCTTTTGTTTTATCCCTAGTTGTGGTTGTGGGACCCTCATCGCATTGTTATTTTTCCTTTATCGCCCCCACTTTTCTATTGTTAAGCTGGATGTTCTCTCTCTGGCTCTTTGTTTGTTTGTTTGCTGTATGATTAATTTCGCTAGGTGTAAATGGATTAGAATGGAGAGAGGTAACCACTACACTACTGGGACTGATTAGTAACATTTCAGTAAAACAGCTGGTGAGGGTCGAGCTGGGCAGAATTCCAATTTTACTCTATAAACTGAGGCTTAAGAGGAAATGAAGGAGGCAGGAAACTGGAATCACATTTGCTTGGAGCCAACCACAAGACACATCGCAGTGTCGGCGCTTTGGGCGTCTGGTCTGGTTGCTCTCCTCTTCTGCACCCTCCAGTTTTCCAACGGCCCTTTTGAAATATGGACCCCAGAAATAAACAGTCAGTTTCACCACTGTCCAGTGAAACCCTTCCACTCACAACACTCCTGTCCATGCCTAGGTTCCTTTGGCCACAGCAGCACACGGACAGATCCCACGGAGTTGTTGTCAGTTGTGAGTTTTGCTGTTTACTACTCAGAGTTCTGCTACTCCACCATACAGCACTCTGGTGTGTGGGTCAGACCTGCAGTCCCTGTTCAGAGAGGGAAACTTCTCATTGGTCCGTATTAAAACATTTTGTTGGCATGGGCTCAGCTTATCAAATGTGGCAAATCAACAGGTTTGCCTGCTCTCACATCTCGCTGTAACTGCTCTGCCGTTATCTGCAGCGTCTTTCTGTTTGCTTCCAGATCATTCATGAAAACATTAACTAGCATCAGTCTAAACTGCTCCCTGCAGATCCTACTACGAACAGCCCTGGTCACTCTCCGTGGTGCATTGAGAATGGCTTTCTGAGACAGGTCGGTATAACTTCCATTTTATAAAATCCCTGGATCCAATTCGTGTGTGTGCTACTGAAATTGTAGAGTGCTCGTGTCTTCATGTGAATGTTTTCCCCTACTAAATCAAATGGCTCAGAGAAATTAAAGGTTATTACTTCTGTTGGTTCCCATGATCAACCAAACATTTACTCTCATTAAAGGAGGAAATTAGTTTATTTCATGACAACTATTTTCCAAAAAACATATTGTTGTCTGGCACGAATTATATTCCTTGACATTTTGTTAACTAATTCCGTACCATTTTTTTCATTCTTTCCTAAGTTTGTCCAAGCCTTTTAAAAAATGTTTTCTTTATTTTCTACTAATTTACATTTAAAAGAGACCTGCCCTGCATTTTCTTTTTCTTTTTCTTTTTCTTATGCTGCTTCCTGATTGTGGACTTCTGGTTCTGAATGTGATTCACTGCTCACTTCATAACTCTGGTGTTCCAAAGTCAAAGTTGCTACAGTAGATGCTGTTTAACACTATCCTTGAAACATTTGCTTTCTCCCTCCAGGAACTGGTGACTTTTTTTTTCTAGGATTTCCTTTTTTCCCTTAATATACTTAACGGCTATGTCTACACTGGCATGATTTTCCGGAAATGCTTTTAACGGAAAAGTTTTCTGTAAAAAGCATTTTCGGAAAAGTGCGTCTAGATTGGAAGGACGCTTTTCCGGAAAAGCACTTTTTGAGGAAAAGCACCCGTGGCCAATCTAGACGCGCTTTTCTGCAAAAAAGCCCCGATGGTCATTTTTGCGATCGGGGCTTTTTTGCGGAAAACACTACTGTGCTGTCTACACTGGCCCTTTTCCGGAACAGTTTTCCGGAAAAAGACTTTTGTCCGAACAGGAGCAGCATAGTTTTTCCAGAAGAGCACTGATGATTTTACATTAGATCATCAGTGCTTTTCTGGAAATTCAAGGGGCCAATGTAGACAGCTGGCAAGTTTTTCCGGAAAAGCAGCTGATTTTCCGGAATAACTTGCCAGTGTAGACACAGCCAACTAGAATATTTACCCGACATTTCTTGAGTCCTTAACTCAAATATTTTTTTTTCATTTAAACCATTGCTGTGGGGGTGAGGCTGGAGATGAGGGGTGCAGGATGCAGGCTGCCCTGGGGAGAGGGACAGCCTGAGCCTTCTCTTACTATAGCATCTTGAGGTATGGGGGAAAGCACCTGTACATGGTCGCTGCAGCTGGAGAAAGGTTGAATGTCCCCTGGTTGGGCAACAGACAGACACACAGAAAATCAGTAACAAAAACAGACAAACTTTCTGAAATGTGTAGTCGGTAGCTGTCACTTTCTGCATTCCGGTCTCCTCCTGGCACACTGGGGGTATAGCTGTCCTGCCTTCCCATCTCTGTCTCCTTGCTGCCCCCTTCTGGTCAGTCTACTGTATAACTGTCCCTTCTACAAGACACCCCCCTTTCTATTTTAGGAGAAACAACTGGATGCAGAAACAGACGGACTGAAATATGAACATTTCTAAATTATACAATAAAATAACGTCTTTTCTGTGACTCTGAACGAAGCCAAGCATGGATTTTTCTCTGAAATCATTAACATCCTTCATCATTTTAAAATGCTTCCAATTTTAAGTGATTCCCATCTATTTTCCTTTTCTCCCACGGGCCGTATATTGCTCCTTCCCCTGTAATTGTTGCCATCCCCTTGCCACTGAATTGGGATTTTAGCCAAAATGGCCTTCTTCCTTGACTCTGGAATCATGGCTTTGTAGATACCCAACAAACTCTTCCTAAAGCTCTCCCAAGGGTCGTTCCCGTTTTTCTGTCTCACTTTTCCTCCCCCTGAAATGTGCTGATAATTTGTCTCAGCTTTGGGGAATTAACCCTTTTCCAGCACTGTCAACAGATGTTACTGGTTCCAAAATATTTTCTCTTTCTCCTTTTGTGTGTCATCAGCTCCATTATTTTCTTCTCCTCTATCATATGCTCTCTTGTGTTTTGAATCTGCACCAAACAGCTCCAGACTTTCCTGTCTGTCCACGTATGGCAGCTTCCCCATTCTCAAAACCTGCCCTAGAAATACCTTTTCTATCTGCTGTATCCTGCACAGCGACTGGGCGACCAGACCCGAGGGCGTGGCTAGAGCAGGTTATTCTCCATCTCATTCCGTATGTGTCCAACCATGGTCTGTACTTTGGACACAGCTGCAAAGAGCAGCTGACCCCCTCGTGTTGCTTTCAACGAGGACCGAGTCTTTCCCCGAGGTGTATTTCCTGTCGATGCCTCTTAAGGTTTCTCACAAAATGATGTATGAAATTACTGACCCAGGGACACCGCTGGCATGTGGAGGGTCAGTTGTTCATACTTCATTTCTCTGAATAAAGCAAAATGTTGGTTTTCAGTATGTGAAGGGCAATGAATCTGTCAGCCATGACAACAGCCTCCATCAGTCTCACATTAACATTTTCTGTTCCTGCAGGCATTTGAAATGCTTCAATCACTCTAAATCCTGGGCTCATCCATAAAATCAGTGAAACATACAGCGCATGCAGGAGAGACTGTTCTGCATCAGAGTTGGACACCTTCTCCCCTTCTCCATGCCAGATTCCAACACAACCCACTTCACCAACCCCTCCACCTTCATCCTGCAGGGCATCCCTGGATTGGAGGCAGCCCATGTCTGGATCTCCATCCCCTTCTGTGCCATGTACATCTTATCCATCTTGGGGAACGTCACCACCCTGTTCATAGTGAAGAGGGAGCCGAGCCTCCATGAGCCCATGTACTATTTCCTCTGCATGCTGGCCATCACCGACCTAGTCCTGTGTACATCCACCATTCCCAAATTGCTCAGCATCTTCTGGTTCAACTCTAGGGAGATCGGTTTCAGTGCCTGCCTCACCCAGCTGTACTTTGTTCATACTTTCTCAGTGATTGAGTCTGGGATCTATGTGGCCATGGCGTTTGATCGCTACGTGGCCATTTGTGATCCCCTGCGACATTCCACCATCCTGACAAACAATGTTGTGGCCAAGATCGGCCTGGCCGTGGTGCTGCGAGGTGCCGTACTTGCACTGCCCTATCCCTTCCTGGTCAGGCAGTGGCCGTATTGCAGAACCAACATCATCCCCCACACACACTGTGAGCACATGGCCGTGGTGAAACTGGCCTGTGCTGACATCCGTGTCAGTACTTACTACGGCCTCTTTGCACTAATCTCTAGGATCACTTTTGATGTGCTTTTTATTGCCCTGTCCTACACCCAGATCCTCAGGGCCATCTTCCACCTCCCCACGAAGGATGCCCGGCTCAAGACTTTTGGGACTTGCAGCTCCCACCTCTGTGTCATCTTGACCTTTTACATCCCAACTCTCTTCTATTCCTTCACATCCCGGTTTGGGCACAATTTGCCCCTTCATTTCCATGTTCTCATTGCCAATGTTTACCTTCTGGTGCCCCCCATGGTAAACCCCATCATTTATGGGGTGAGGACCAAACAGATCCGGGAAAGTCTGATCCGGCTGTTTCCACATAAAGGGACTAAAGTTCTTTCCTAGGGCGTTGGCTCTCAGACCATGCCCCGTGCAGGGCTAGGGGGAGTGCTGGGGTGCTGGGCCCTCTTCCCTGAATCATGGATGAGCCAGTCAAAGTGAGAGTTTTTTGTGATGACCTTGCTGTGCATTCTGATTGTGATACACAGGGGAATCAGTTTGTCTACACTGCAAAGTTAATTCAGAATAACAGCCGTTATTCCGAATTAACTTCCATAGCATCTACACAAGCAAACCACTATATCAAATTAAATTTGATATAGCAGGGCACTTAATTCGAGTTTGGTAAACCTCATTCTATGAGGAGTAACACGAAACTCGAATTAGATAATTCAGAATAAGTGCTGGGTAGACACTTAGTCCCAATTAGCTGGCCTCCAACCTTCCCAGTTTCCCCTGGGGGCCACTCTGGGCAAAACCAGGAACACTCTTCTCCCTCCCACCAGCCCCAGAGCCCTTAAAGGGGCAGACTCTGGCAACAGTGCCTGTGCCAGCTCCAAGCCACTGGCAGCCAACCCTCCACTGCACCCCAGGAGCAGTCTTCCAGCTCCCAGGAGACTGCCTGGTCCAGGGCGGAGATCATGGTGGACCATACTCAGGTTTGGGGGAGTGCCCCCAACATCCATGATCTCTGCACTGGACAGAGGAATGCAGCCGTCTACAGCAGGATAACTGCCAGCCTGGCTACCAAAGGCCACATGTGAACCCAGGAGAAGTTTGCATGAAAATCATATTTGTCCTGCAAGATCCCCAACCCTGAGCTTCTCCTCCCCCTTCCTCCCTTTGCATCCCCCTTCCAGCTCCCTCCTTCCAGGTGTCCCCTTCCCCTGGCTCACCCTCATTCCCACCCTCATTCTTTATTTCGGTCAATAAAGAAAGTTTGTTTTTGGCAAGAAATGTGCTTTTATTTGCTATGAAGAAAGGGGGCTAGGGAGGAGTAAGTGGAAGGACATGAGGGAGGAATGAGGCACAAGTGCCCAGTGGGGCACACCAGGGAGGCTCTTAGTGCTCCTCAGGGTGGAAGCTCTCCCGCAGGGTCTCCTGGATACTGACAGCCCCCCAGTGGACCTCTGGGATGGCAGCCTGCAGAAAGTGCAGCCAGGCTCGCAGCAACGCATCCACGAGAAGCACCAGAGTGCCCAGGAGCAACTCTGACTCCATGGTGCTGAGTGCTGTGGTGTCCCGAGTGAGGGCAACCAGAGCACAAAGAGACACAAATGCTTTGCTGTCCCTCAGCGAGGCAGGCAAGCAAGCAGGGACACCTGAGAACTGGCTTCCCCAGGGGTGAGGGGATGTGTCCCTTTAAGCACAGGCGTCAGGCAGCAGCCACACACAGACACTCCTGACCTGATGCCCTGCCTGACCTGGTTCTGGCTGGTCTTAAATCCAAAATGCTAATTAGAGCTGCATTTTGTGTGTAGATGCGTTAATTCAAATTAACTATTTTGAATTAAGATAACTCAAATTAACGCAGTAGTGTAGACATACCCTTTGTGAACAATCTGTTAACTCATATGTTTGCCCCCTTTCTAATTGTATTTGTCATTGTAACTGACACCCAAGGCCCCTCCCCTCCCTCTCCTCTTCTCCCAAGGCCCCGCCTCTGCTCCAAGTCCTCCCTTGCGGTCCCAACCACTTCTATGCCTTCCCCCCATGGTTTCCCACGCTCGTTTGCTCCTTTGCTCCCCCTGTCACTCTGTGGATCATCTGGTGGCTGGTGGGCCTTGGGGGACACCTGCGATTGAGGTGCAGCGGAGCCCTCAGACTCACTATCCTGGATTCCCTCTTGCACAGTGACACGACGAGCTGTGGAGCCCTCTTAGCTGCACTCACATGAACGTCCGTGGGCGGGAACACCCCCTCCCCCAGCTGTGTTCATAAATACTGTGGCTAGCCAGCTCAGAAGCCAGTGTTGGGAGGCTACAGGGAAAATATTCTTGGCTCCTCAGGCTAAGCTCTCCCATCTTGCTCTGGTGAAAACCCAGCCAGTACAAATGTATTACCCAGCCCACCATTGCTACAAAGGACAGAGAACATACACCAGCTCTACCTCCAGTTTGAAACAGCCTTCGTTGCCCTGGTAGATGATTTATGCTGGGATATGGACAAGGGGAGTGCATCCCTGTTGATTCTCCTAGACCTCTCAGCGGCTTTTGATACCATTGACCATGATATCCTTCTGGGACGCCTTGTGGAGTTGGGAATTGGAGGCACTGTTCTGGTCCAACCTGTCGGGATGCTTTCAGAAGGTGGAGCTAGGGGGCTGCTATTCGACCCCGTGGCGATTGTGCTATGCGGTCCCGCAAGGTTCCATCTTGTCCCCTATGCTGTTTAATATCTACATGAAGCCGCTGGGCGAGGTCATAAGGAGTTTTGGAGGACGGTGCCATCAATATGCAAAGGACACCCAACTCTATTTCCCTGTGACATTAGAACCAGGTGTGGCAGTGACTGATCTAACTCGGTGTCTGGAGACAGTGATGGTTTGGATGAAGTCAAATAAGCTGAAGTTGAACCCAGATAAGACTGAGGTTCTGTGGATCAGGAGGCCATCTGTGTGTGAATGTGGCATGGCACCTGTTCTAGGAGGGGTTACTCTCCCCTGAAAAAACAGGTACGCTTGGGAGTCCACCTGGACCCTTTTTCAACATTTGAAAATCAGATTTCTTTGGTGGCCAAGAGTGCCTTTGGGCAACTTGTTTGATCCGCCAGCTGCGACCCGTACTGAACAAGCATGACTTGGCCACAGTGATCCATGCTCTTGTTACATCCCAACTGGATTACTGTCATGCACTTTATGTGGGGCTGCCTCTAAAGAGCCTTCGGAATCTTCAACTGGTCCAGAATGCGGCTGTTCGAGTTTTAACTAACACTCGTTATATGGAGCACATTATTCCAGGGCTTCGGCAGCTGCACTGGCTTCCGGTATGTTTCTGGACACAATTTAAGGTTTTAGTTATGACCTATAAAGCCTTAAATGGGTGGGGTCAAGGGTATCTGAAGGACCGTCTTCTCCCATATGAACCTGCCCAGGGATTGAGGTCAGCTGGTGAAGTTTTGCTCCATGTTCCCCCAAGTGTGGAGATAAGATTAACATCTATGCAGAACAGGGCATTCCCAGCTTTTGCTCCTAGATTGTGGAATTCTCTTCCTCGGGATATTCGCATGGCGCCAACGCTAGTGTTGTTTCGGCGTCAGGCTAAAGCCACCTTTTTTATTCGTGCTTTTATTAAAGTTTGAGTCTGTATGTGTGTGATCCTCCTCTCAAAGGCTGTGTCTAGACTGGCCAGTTTTTCTGGAAAATCAGCTGCTTTTCCGGAAAAACTTGCCAGCTGTCTACACTGGCTGCTTGAATTTCCGCAAAAGCACTGACTTCGTACTGTAAGAAATCAGTGCTTTTTGCGGAAATACTTTGCTGCTCCCGTTTGGGCAAAAGTTTTGCGCAAAAGGGCCAGTGTAGACAGCTCAGCTTTGTTTTCCGCAAAAAAGCGCCGATCGCAAAATGGTGATCAGGGCTTTTTTGCGCAAAAGCGCGTCCAGATTGGCACGGACGCTTTTCCACAAAAAGTGCTTTTGCGGAAAAGCGTCTGTGCCAATCTAGACGCTCTTTTCCGAATTCCAACTAAATCAACCCGGCCAGGGCTTTGTCAAGCCGAGACTTAAACACCTCTAGGGATGGAGACTCCACTACTTCTCTAGGTAACCCATCCCAGTGCTTCACCACCCTCAAGTGCTTTTGTGGAAAAGCGTCCGTGCCAAGCTAGACTCTCTTTTCTGAAAATGCTTTTAATGGAAAACTTTTCCGTTAAAAGCATTTCCGGAAAATAATGCCAGTCTAGACTTAGCCAATATGTTTTTAGCTGGTTATGTCCCTCTGAGGTCTCATATTTTAAATTTTTAAATTTTTATATATATTTGTATTATTTGTTGTTGTTCTTGTAAGCCGCCTTGAATATTTTAAATAGAAAGGCAGGATAAAAATAAATAAATAAATAAATAAATATTTTGTAAGTTACAACTTTGACTGCACCTCTTAACCCAAGGTGCAAGGATCACATCCTTCTAGGACAGGGAAATCCCACTGCAGGGAATGGGTATTTCAGGGAAACCCCCAAAATGGAGAGGGGAACTTTTGCATGGGTATAACCCTGAGTTTGGGAAGCAGCACCACAGTGGACTGGCCAATACACAATCTCCCCTTACATCCTTATTCCTCCTAACTCTGGCATAGTAACACCCCCGAAGATGGCAAACTGAGATCCCTCCTGAGGGGACGCTGAGGGGGAAGGAACTAGCCACATGTGAAAGTTGAGAGAAGAGGTGAAAGACATGCTAGCATTGAACAAACCTCATGGTCCACTCAGAAAGTGAGGTAGAGACTTTGGGGGCAGATCTACTCTAGGGCTACGTCTACACTGGCAGCTTCTTGCGCAAGAACTCTTTTGCGGAAGAGTTCCTGTGCAAAAACTCTACCACAAGAGAGTGTCTACACTGCCATGTGCTTTTGCACAAGAGTGTCCATGGCAGTGTGGACGCTCTCTTGCACAAGAAAGAGCTGATGGCTATTTTAATCATAGGGGCTTCTTGTGCAAAAAATTCATGTTACCTGTCTACACTGCTCTCTTCTGGCAGAGCTTTTGCGCAAGAGGGCTTATTGTTCATGGGGAGAGGAATAACTCTTCCAGAAGAAGCCCTGTTTTACAACGCTTTACTGTAAATTTACTTCTGGAAGAACACTCGTGCAGTGTAGCTGGCAAGTTTTTGCGTAAGAATGGCTGTTCTTCCGCAAGAAGCTGCCAGTGTAGACATAGCCTAGACCTGGGAGGTCAGTTTAAGGTACACAACTCCTGCAGTGCCACCCACATCAGTTTTCCTTAAGCCTAGTCTTGCTGACCACACAGCAGAGACCAATGGAAACAAATGATTCTATTGGCTTCCATTGCTCCTCACAACTGCAAGTGTACAGATGCTGGCTGGAGCTGCCCTCAGTGTTTGGTTTATGGGTC